AAAACATTTCACAGGCAGGTGTGGATGGAACTGGAGGGGTGTTCTAGACAGGGACGGGGGGTGCCATGTGGGCAGAGGTGTGGAGGCTTGAAATTGTATGGCCTGTTGGGGAGCTCTGGGTGGCTGTGTGCTTGTTTCATGGAGTACAAAAAGGGACTTGGTGAAAGATAAGACTGGAAAGATGAAGGATGCCAGATCTCAGAGGACCTCATGTTCTGTAAAAAATAGCTTTCACCTGACCAGCCCTCGTGGTACGCAGCAATCATGCCTGAAGTTAGGAGTCATCCATTCTGCCTGACAGCAACTTCCAAGAGGCCTAGAGAAGAAGTTCAATTGGGAGCTTTACGAAAGCAACAAAAAATAATTAACTTAATAAGAATTATACACATTTTGTTACAGAGTTAATTTTTTTCATCACTACATAAATATTTGTTGGCATGTAAGGAATGAGCATGTGTTAGAACTTGGCATTCTACTGAGGAATTCAAACATTAAAGAACTTAAGCTTTAATTACTAATTATTAATTATTAAATAATATTTTTTAAAAACATAAATGTTATACCATGGAACAGGGGGCATTAATGTGAGGTATTTCTTAACTGGAATTAGCAAAACAAACAAAAACCCTTAGCCAAGTGTGGCTAGAAAATATAATTCAGCTGCTTATTTGTTTGTTTGTTTGTTGAAGTTTTATTAAAGTTCATTTAAGCCAAAATGATGACATATGCTGGGGAGCAAGATCTGAAATGCTCCTAGCTGCTGCTTTTGTTATCCAGTTTTTGTCTTCTTTCTTCTGTTCTGCATTGAAACAGTCACTTTTCCATATCAACCTTTAATGGATTCTCCACTAAAAATTACTCAAACATCAGATTTTAAATAAGAATTCTCATAAACTGATTTCAAAGAATGCTTTTCTCTGCTCAAATGCATTCTGTACAATGCTGTCAGTGGCTTCTTAGTCCAGCAAAATGTGTTTTCTGTTCTAACACGGGCCTGCAGCTGCTAGACTTTCTATGCACGTTTCTATCTGCAGCTTTCCACCTCCCCCCCCCCCACCACCAACAACACCACCCCTTTGGATCTTCTCTGGTTTCAGGCTTCTGGATTGTTCCCCATGTTGCTGCAGGTAGAGGTCTACGCTACTGTGATTGATTTGGGATGGGAAGAGGGACTTCCTGTTTGAGCTCAATCCCAAAATACTCAACCCTTCAACTCCACTGTAGACACAAGGTCTCCGTCCCATGTCTTCCCTGTCCACAGCTCCACTGAATTTACTATTTAACCCCACCACTTAACTTCATTGGCTACCCCAGTTCCAAATTTCTTAGTTGAGTTTCATGAATAAATGGGCTCCATAAGGGTAAGAATGGTGCCATTTTAAGAAAACAATAATAATTTAAGTCCACTTTAGAGAAGCTATTATTAAAAAGTGCTGGAATGTCCTCAGAGTTAATGATAATATACTGTAATAAAGAATACTGCTAGATTCTTGAATAGTGGCACATATTAGCTATCAATATGTGATATATGGATTGAAATATGGTACCCATGCATTGTATTGATAAGCAAGAACTATATGCTCAGAATTCATTATTATGGATGGAGAGCTGAGTGGTTAATCATTAACAATTTATTGAATACTTACTCTATAGCAATGCTATGGATCTAAAATGAAACATATTTCTTTTGTTTTAAGTAAAACTAATGTTTATCGATAGTAAAACCGTTTCGTCAAGAGCTGAATTTTGTTGACTAAGTTAATGAACAATGGGATAAAAAGTTTTATGGTGCTTCTTTGCTGTATTACTGAAATGTTTTAATTTCATGTCTGAACTTAAAAATAGCACCGTCTTATCTTTCACCCTTATTTCCCTCCCTCTAATAAATAATGTCCCTTTTCCCTAGACTATAAATGATCAATACTGTGGTAGGCATACCTATTATTAGCTATAATTCCCAACTTGTCTATGATAGCTTGGTGATAGTATCAAAATATCAGATTTTTAGCTGAACCTTGGCTCAGGAAAAAATAATTATTTCAGAGCTGAAAGAGTTTAAATAGCTGATTATACTTTACTAAGTAGAATATAATTGGAAGTATCCAAATAAACTAGAAGTTAGTAATAAAGTCCACCAAAACAGTTATATCTGGACACTTAAAATGTTCTATTACATGGGAATTTTCATGAAATTCAAGAAAATAACATAATGTTCTTTATGTTTCCATGTGTCCTCTTATAGTGTCTACATTTTATGATCACAAGGCACTCTTCACTCCTATTTAATAATTAAAATTTTTCCTTCCCACTTCCCACAAAACTTACAAGGACTTTGGTCCTTTTGAGTTTTGATTCTAACAACCAAGCATCAGCCTAATCAAGAATGGAAACAGTGTGAAAATGTTCCAGATCAAGCCTTTCTGGTTTAAATAATTTAAAATGTTCATTCTGACAGCAGGAAAATCTTACTCAGAAAAAATCAGGGTCAGCAGCATGTTTGATTACAAAAAGTAAGAAGCAAGAGCCTCTTCAAAAGTCAGAATGACACAATGACACACTAGCCATTTCATACTTCATAGAGCTGCCTCCATTATAAATCACGTTATCTTCTCATCTCTGAAGCATCCCAGTCACATTCTTCAGCCATGAATTCAAAAGCCTTTACTCTGAGTGAGACCTCGGGATCAGTAACCTTTTGAGTGAGTGTGGGAAGTGGGGAAGGAGACAATAGCGGTCACCTGGGAATTGCTGAAGGCAGCCACTGAGCCGAACAAGGATGCTTTGGTTCTCTTGGCCCCTGTGTCCCCTGTTATTGTGTAGCGGGTTATTGTTGGGAAACATTGACTCACCTGGCATTCCAAGAAATGGAGCTCCCCCCTCCCC